GGGGTTTACTTGAAGAAGTTCTTTTTTTACCCCATTCCTTTCTTTTGCTCTTTCATATTTCCCCCTCCTTCTTCTTCGACATCATCAGCTCTCATGAAATCTGTGGACGTAAGTATCCAGATCTTGATCTGTGGGGCTGGTATGCACGGAACATGGGAGGTTTCAGCAAATAGAAGACCAGCGGTGTCCTTCAGACACACTGTGTACATGACGAAGGCCAAATTCTCCAGATAATTACGAAAAAAAAGTACGAGACTTCATGGGCAGAAATGAAAAAAAAAAAAAACTTCATGCAAGATATGTCCTTTTGGGAAGAAGGGAGGGGCGTATGATTATGAAGCAATATAGGATTCCTTGGAGAGAGGGATCCGAGCGAGGGGGGAGAATATGGTATGACATCTGGCATCTGACATCTCATGCCTGTTCTCCAGAAGTGCGGGTGCATGTGCTGAAGCAGCTGGAAGCTAACCTTGAATAATAGCACGTCGATCGTATGTTTTTTGGTCGATGGGGATATAAATTAACTATCAATGTCCAAACGCGAGACATCGGGAGACAAGGAGGTGGACTTCTTTCGAACGGAAGAGAAGAGGGCAAAGGTCAGTCAGTCAGCAAAACAAGCCCGAAGAGACCCGATCAACGGCGTATGACCCTTCATATGTCTTGACCCTGCTTCTCCTTGAAGTGCCGAGGAGGGCCGTCAGGCCACGCAGGAGACGGTAGAATGGGGATGGGAATAATGGGAGAAAGTAACCGTGAAAATGTCTCGCCGATACATATACTCAAACCAGAGCACCGGTGTTAGGGTTGTATTCGCTGTCTTTGAGAGGGGAAGCCTAAGTAGAGGGCTGGGTTGGGTTGATGTTGATATCTGGTTTACATCATAGTAATATCCATACAGCCACAAGCTACATAACCTCGTTAAATCGAGCTTCCTCCCGAGGTCTTGCGAAGTATAAAGAAAGCGGAAAAAAAGGAAACAAAAAGGTCGGAAAGGTCGGATGTTAGGGAAAAAGGGGGTGGTGAGAAGACAGAGCTGTCCCCCTGAAGAACCCAAGAGATTCTATCCGATGAAAAGTAAAAGCAGAAAAAGAAAAAAGTGGCAGTTTATTAGGAAAACTAGTACTCCGTATGTATGCAGCGACTTTTAACGAATATTTGGTACCTGAGGCAAAGCCTGAGAAAGAGGCGTCGACAGGTAGGACATGTATGGTAGTATCATATGTTATCTTGTAGTGACGTGTTTTTGATTAACCGAATAATCTATTATTATATTAGGGGGATTATTATTATTATTGCTTTGACTTTCCTCAACAAAGAAACTAACTAACAATCTGCTATATTCAGCAACCGGATAAATGCAGAAGCAAAAGAGGATTTAGTCAAATACGGACGCTCCCTTTGGATGATCCAAACCAGTAAAAAATTGCTGAGAAATGTGCGAAGTAACTAGTTGAGGATGTGGAGAGGGTAACAGAGAAGAGAAACTTACGAAAGAGGGTCTCCTATGGAGTAAACGATCTGATGAACCGAGCTTCTGAAAAAGCCCACACCACCCGTCTGTCCAACACAGGGCCAGGGGGGAGGAAAGAGAGGGGCCGGGAGAGGGAATATAAGGCCCGAAGTATACTTACAGAAAGTACTTAAAGATAAGCCAGTCTTTTCTTTCTGACATAAGTATTATTGTTGCAATGTTAGCTGGGTGGGGGGAAGAAAGGCAAGAAAATCGCGAGCAGGGGGAGCAGCGGTCGTTCAAATGGAGAGGTGGGTACTGGGGACCACCCTAACCCCGAACCCCGAACGGGGAATTGGATTGCAAAGGGCGAAACAAGCAAGCTGGTCCTTAGCACTGCTGTTAATGATGTCTCGATGCGATGAACCTTCTCCGTCAAAACGGAAAAAAAATGCCAAATGGAGAATGTTGTCTTCGGCATACATATACCTAAATGGGTAGTATATATACACGACTACTCCGTATGGTTCTGCATCTTCCGAAGATGTGATGAAGAAGTGGATTCCGAGATAATCTGCGAACTGAAGAAACTTCTCTCTCGTATCGACGCAGGAGATGAAGAATCTTATCCGCCCTGACGAAATGAAGAAGCGAGCGAGGAGAAAGAAAAAGGAAAGAAAAGAGAGGAGAAGCAGGTGAAGGAGTAGGCGAGAAATCTCGGGGAGAGGAGGCAGGCGAAAAAACCAACATTGAATGAAGTCAGAAAAAGGTCCCTGATTGGACGTATGGCCCCTGATGGAGCTTGACCAGCCTGAACCGTTGCCCTGGGACCTGCTAGCCAGTCAGAGAGGATGCAAATATGCAAGAGAAAGGAGACTACTGCAAGACGCTTAACTGGAGTAGAGGGTGCGTGTGCATGAGAGGCCTCATCCCTGGCGCTCGCGGTGTTGGTACTCTTTATGTACGGATGTGTATCGTGGAAAATACGCAGGGTCAACCGCGCGATTAGCCCTGAAGAAATGGCGCATCCTCCCACTTCATTTTCTTTTTCTTGCTTTCCTTGCTTTCTTTTTCCTGTCTCTCGTATAGAGGTGGCCTCGTACGATGATGTACTTGTGAAAATATTCCGTGAAGAAATTCCTCCTGTCCGCCGATGGCTGTTTGGGTACCAGGTGCATCGTACGAGTTGCTGGCAAGGAATGTGCAGACAACCCTCGTCCTTGGTTCCAGTCTTTGCGAATATTTCTCCTTCCCCAGGATCGGTGTTCCATACCGCCCGCCGGCGAGTTTCCGGGTCATCGTCAGCCTGTTGCTGGTGTGCGTGTGTCTGTCCAAGGAGGGATGGAGTGCTGTCAGTTAACGACGAAGCTGCCTCGGGGAGAAGAAAAAGAGCCTCAGTCCTCGCTTGGGCAGATATGGTACTGATTACTAATATGCATCATACAGGTACAGTACAGGCACGGCGGTGGTACGATACGGCCGTAATACCGTTACGAGGCGTCTCACTCTATTATCCGCATTCATCCTAGCCTCAAAGGGGGGAAAAGCAAAGAAAAGGAAAAAACAACGTCAAAGGTCAACTTCAACCTCAACGTCCATCCTGCTGGGTCAGCCCAGCATCATGAATTGCACGTAAGTTTATTAACTCGGCGTCCAGCGAGCCACGATTTACCGATGTGAGGTTCCCGATCGTTGTCATAAGTCTGACATAAAAATATAAAGACTAGCCATCATGGACAGGGGACTGTGTTGCCTTGTCACACCAGCGGGTTCGTTGCCCAGCTGTGACTTCGCAGCGTCGAGCATCCCGGTCCTGGATCCCCAATCCCGCTGAAGGAGGGAAAGCAAACATTTAAGCTTGATCTACCATTGGCCATGGCCATGAAGCATCTCCCTTGTCCAAGCCAGCCAGCAGCGTCTTCGCAAAAAACAACAAACATCATATCTCGCAGTGCATGAAGGTCATGTGACATCGATTCTAAAGCACTTGGAGCGGACTGATTGGTCTGATGCAGTGCCTTTTGGGCATCAATCATTAATCTCGGCGGCTGTTCGCCTATCATCGCCGCCGCTACTGGACTTTCTTTTCGCGTTTTGGATACCTCTATTAACCCAGGGTTCGAGGCAGGCATGGACGTTGCATCCATTTATGCAGCTACCAATTGAGCCAAGATATGGAAAACTGGAGAAATCTACGGTCCTTCCGAGGAGTTCTGCCTCATTTACGTACGGGATTTGTATCAGAGTGATTTCTTCCTTCGTTTTCCTTTTGCTTTCTTTCTTTCTTTCTTTTTCTTTTTTTGCCTTTTCATGTCTCTTCAGAAAGACGTGAATTGACCACAGGGCGGAGTGATTGTGGATATACGCCTCCACATCGCTCGTCCAACTGTGGGTCCATCGGCGGATACCTTATCAGGCCCGTTCTTATTTATCCACGACCAGAAATTCAAAGTTGAGCGCTAATTAGGTTTTGACGGAACTCCTCGATATATTTCCTTCTTCGTACCCTCCACTGTCTGTGCTGACTACCAGATTGCTCTCCGTTGCAGAACCTCGGGAAACGTTCTGTCCTATCATTCATTAAGCATGAATTTGCAGATGGGCCAGTCAGAAAAAGCCAACGCAGACAACGTCACCTAGACGCTCAAACAAATCAACAACCTTGTTCTTTCCTCCTTGGAAGTACTTTTATACCTGGACATGCTGCTACGCCGCAAGAATTATGTCTTATCGAGCGGTTGATAAAGCGTATCGTTATTTCCTACATACGTCAAGGATGACTTAACTAGGCTTACATAATTACCCAACTGAGCATTTACACTTGCCTGGGAAACCAGACTATCCTTGATGCAAATATGTTTGAGATAAATCGATGTCGACTCTGTTCGCGAAGGGCGTGCGGAAGAGTAGAACGGAAGACCCTGGAAGTCGGCGCCATCGGCCGAACCGAAAGGGAAAAAGAGAATATAAATGAAGCAAAGAGCAAAAGGCAGAGGGTTAGCCAGGTTCATCTAGGCAACAACTGCTCAAGGCTATAACAGGTCTACCATGCCTTTAGCGAGGAGTTGTGGAAGGCCGTGCAATCAGTCAACCATACTTAATTCGCGTTCTCTCTGTCTTTCTTTGCCGCTGCTTATTCTTTTAATTCGAACGCCTCTTCTCTCCCCTTTCTGACCAGGTTTCCTCTCCTCTCTGAATCCCTGCAGACGGCCTGGCCGTGAAGGCCACGTAACGGCTTGACTATTATTAACCTCCTCCATGCAATGGGATCCCTCCGATTCTTCACCTTGCCCTCTTGTGTTTTCTGCAAACGAGAAAATATAGCACTAGAAATTACCGGGCCAGTTGGTGATCAAAGTCTGGATCAGCGGCTTGGGATGAAGGCTCAAGCCCGCTTGCCTTCCTGCCGCGCCTGTTATCCAATGCACAGACTGAGTGGCTGCATACAAAGTCACACCAGAAACCGCCCATTCCGTTCTAGAATGACGTTGGCTAATACATGATTACTGATTTTTAACAGCCTCAAAAGCCAAGCTGCATCACAAAAACAAGCCCCGTATAGCATGTTAGGCCATTCGTACAGGCTTCACGGCAGGTATTTCTTGGAAATACAACTGCCAAAGTTCAGGACACGGAAGGCTCTGCTCTTCTTTTCTATCCTAAACTTTCCGTGCATGAGCCTATGACATCGATTGAAAAGGGTGTGCCAGCTGATCAACCTACGTATGCGGGTCGACACAGTTGCCTGCAAGCTGTGAAGATTATTCGCCCCCAAGAGTTAGTACTAGGTAGAGTAACTCTAGGGCCGTTCCAGCCAGCTTGAATGCTAGAGAGTTTCCTGCAATAGGTCCACATAACCGCTTAGGTTATATCAGTCTGCTACAAGTCATGGAAATCTATGCGTTTTCTCACATGCCTGCGGATGTCCCCTGTTATTCAACCCCTGCGCTGAACCAATGAAGGCCCCAAAACTGCACTGCACTGCAAATGACTGCAATCGCTGATCTCAGGGAATTGTTCCGCGTGTTTTGATCCCTCGTTATGACCTTCTGGCTTGTGTCTTTCTCTAGCTTCACCTTGTCACCTGTGGGCTGATCCCCTGCTATGCGCGCTGCATTCAACGTACCACGGTCAACAGTTTTTAAACACCATCGCTATGTTCTTGCATGCCTCGGTGACTCTTTTGAACTCTATTTCAGGGTTTAAACAGCTCGATGCTCGTGTCTGTCGACTGCTCTCCTGTGGTTGGATTTCATATTTTACCCAGTACTCTCTGTCATTCTCCCTTGCCCCCTCTTCCCCTTTATAATCGAGGGTACTTACTGAATGTCCCGTTAGATTTATACTTGGATAGCCATCATGTTGGCCAAGGGAATGTCAAGCCTGGAGCTTCTCCCTCGATTTGAACTGCTCCAGATGCAACGCTTTTGTCCAGGGTATCAGGTATCGGATACGGTACTTCGGTGTGGAAGCGGATGTCATTTAGATTTGGATTGGTTAACTATGTATCCCTACCCTTTATCCCTGCCAGCCAATGCAGATTACTACCTCAGGCGCATAAAATACTACCACCTTTCCAGGGGAGGAGGCTCTTCTTGCCTTTCCGCGAGATTTCCTTGGTGCTCAGGAGAAAGGCCCCCCCCATGGGGCTTATGCCCACTGCAAGACTACCCTACATTTCCCTTCAGCATCCTGTCTTCTGGCTGTTTCGTGAGGCCTGTGGGTCGGTGTCCTCCAACTAGAAGCCTGCCCAAATGGCTGAGGAAAGCGTTGTTGCACCTCTAGGCCCCGCATTCTTCCTTTCGCCCCTTCAAGGCTCCCTTCTAGTTGGCTTGAAGAGCTCCATCTGATAGGCAGAGCCGGACAGACCTGGGAAGTGCATATTGCGGTATTGAAGTTGCGGCGTACCACTTATGACATGGGGAAACAGACTGTTATCAGCAGATTGCCGGTAGCTCCGAGATAACTTGACCATCTATACCAGTCTACATCAGGATAACAGGAAGAAACCAGTCCGTGGCGCTTTTCCACATGCATTTACTAACAGTTTACATGTTGCACCGCGTTTAATGAACTCAAGACCCGACACAGTTCAACTGAAATATCATGCGAAAGAAGGAAAGAAAGCGGCCGGCTGGAAATAAGCCTCGTTTTATCTCTTTAAAAAATACATTTATAATGCATAACTACAGCCACGCTCCACGCGCCAGCCTTGCCTTGAGAAGCATTGTCTACAGGCATCTATACGCACACACTTCTACATGAATCCAAGCGCTTGCCATTATTGCGGCCCAATCCCCGGCGTCACCCATGCAAGCTAATCTCAGCCCCATGGCATTCTTCGCAGGGTATGGGAGCGTGAAACATGCGGTGCCGCTTGGCTGCTCTGTCTCCCTCTCTCCGCGTCTCGATGCATCAGTTTCTCTTTCTTTCTTTTTCTTTCTTTCTTTTTTTTTTTTTTTTCGCATGGGGTTGATTGACCATTGATTCTTCATACCATTGTTTTAGACTTTTGCTACGCCGCTTAACAGCATCATGTCTATCGTCCACTGCCACCCCTTTTCTGGACAGAAGCTATGCCACGTATTGATATGGCGGATGTGGAGGGTGCAGTGCTACAGTGCCCTGATTAGATGCGGTGTCGATGTTCATAAGTCAGCATATACATCGGCACGGCCATGTCTCTACCCAGCTGCCCTGTTGGTACGCACCGAAAAAGGACCATGCATCGCCATTTCAGCTGGTCGAATTGAATCAATCTCCAGAAGTTACCTGTATAAAGGTTAAGATACAGCTGCATAACTCCGCACGCACATTGCCACAAAGCCCCCCCCCCCCCCCTTTTTTTTCTCATCGTTCTCTTTCATGTGGGGGCTCATACTTGTAGAAATAAGTAAGAGAATTGCGGCGGCAAATGTTATTTTTTCGTTCGTATCCACATCTCCCCCCCCCCAAATTCCTCAGTGGGCGTTTCCGGCGCCCCAAATTTTAACTGGCCC